CCCCAGGTAGAGGGCAGTGGCATCATCATAGCTCACTGCAACCTCAAACTCCTGGGCTCAAGCGATCCTCCTGCCTCAGCCTCCCAAGTAGCTGAGACTACTGGCATGCGCCAAATGCCCGGTGATTTTTTTTTTTTTTTTTCTTTTTTTGAGACAGAGTCTCACTTTCTGCCCAGGCTAGAGTGGAGTGCCGTGGCGTCAGCCTAGCTCACAGCACCTCAAACTCCTGGGCTAGCCGATCCTTCTGTCTCAGCCTCCCAAGTAGCTGGGATACAGGCATGCGCCACATGCCCGGCTATTTTTACTATATATATAGTTGCCAATTAGTTTCTTTCTATTTAGTAGAGACGGGTCTCGCTCTTGCTCAGGCTGGTTTCGAACTCCTGACTCGAGCAATCCGCCCGCTCCGCCTCCCAGAGAGCTAGGATTACAGGCGTGAGCCACCGCGCCCGGCCTGATTTTTCTTTTTTAGTAGAGACAGGTTCTTACTCTTGCTCAGCTAGTCTCAAACTCCTGAGCTCCAGCAATCTTCCTACCTCGGCCTCTCAGAGTGCCAGGATGACAGGTGTGAACCACTACACATGGCCTGTGATTGTTTTAATCATTATACCAAACTGTTACCAAACCACTGTTTCAAAATGTCACCAAGTTTATATATTCTCATTATACAAAATATTCTGTCCTAGGTATGCACTGGAAATCACTGGGTACTTGTCAGGACTGTGAGCAATTGCTGAGATGAAATGATTTGTTTCATCATAGCACTTGGCCAACTGTCAACGTACAGAACACAGAGATTTTGTCAATCCTTGAGTCTGGGGCAGTGGGGCTCTTTAAAGTAATTGAATCTGAGGTATAGGTTAATCCTGTCCTAACTTAGACTCTGGTTTTCAGTTTATGGGTGCCATGAGCAAAGGAACTTAGTTCATAGAGCCACAAAATATGTTTCCCGACGTAAATACAGAAATATTATTTCTGCTGCATAGTAAGTGTTCTGCTCTCTCAATAACTCAGGCAGAGCTGCGTCGTCTGCTTCACAGTCTTCAGGCCATCCCTCCATTCCGGTGTGTGGCTCTCAGCATGCATCTGAGTACTTCAAGGACGTATTAAAACGTAGATTGTTGGGCCCCACCCTCAGAGTTTCTGACTCTGGGGTATTTGCATTTCTGCATTTTCCACACGTGTCCAGGGGGGTGCTGACACTGATGTTCCACGGAGCACACTTTGAGAATGAGGGCTCTAAGGCAATCTTTTTCAAAGTCAGACACTCAGATCCTCAAATCAGAATCACCAGGACTACGTAGTCATCTGCAGATCTTCAGGACCTATGCTGATGCTTAAATCCGAATCTCCAGGGTGTTGTGCCTGTGATTTGTGTTTTGTCAAGTTCCCCCTCCTCAGATGCGAGTGTGCGTCCCCAGGTGGTTGAGAGGTATATTCACATTTGAGAACCAGTGAGGAGGCAGGTCCAGGGATATTGATTGTCATGGAAAACACAGATCAAGTCTCCCCTCAAATTTTTACCAGCTATATCCTGTGTCTTGGCATCTAGTAGTTGCTTTATACGTAGTAGTTGAATGAATTAATGGTAACGAATGAATGCGAGCAGTTAGTTGCTACTGTGAAAGTTGTCATAATCAAAACGGAGTCACTTGTGTTAAAAAAAAAAAAAAAACAGCACACTAAACCTTGACAAATAGAACATAGACAAATAGGCCATAATGAGAAGGGTTCTGATGTGCCTGATGACAAAAACTAACTCAAAAGACTGCAAAAACTGCAACCTTGCACAAAGATCATCACAACCTTACACAAAAAAGACTTCTGTGAGGACATCTGCCCAGCAATTGCCCAGCCTTGGACTAGCATCACTCTTGTTATTGATCCTTGTAGCCAAGGATAAATATCTCAAAACAATCATGTAATACTCCTCATTTTTTTCTTTAAAAACCTTTGGCTTCCTTTACAGCCTTGCATATGCACGTAATTTACTATGGCACACATATTCCCATCGCAGTGACCCATTCCTGAATAAATACCATTTTCTTTTAGAGAGCCTCTCTCTGTGTTATTTAGGTTGACATTTGCTCCCAGCACCTTCTGGTTTATTCTACTTTAGAATATATCATCGAGATTTCAACTTCTTGCCTACTTGATTGTCTCCATTCTGCACAGGGACCTTCTCTTTTCTTTGCTGTATCTTCAGTGCCAAACCCAGTATCTGGCACATAGTGTGCATATCATCAGCGTTTGTTGGGTTAAACTGTTGTAAATGTTAAATACAGCATCTCTTGGAGTAAGCCTGAAAAAGAGGTGGCATGAATTGTTACGCTTCCTTGGTTTCTCTGACTGTATATTGAAGTATTGGAAGAGGAGGGCCAACATTTTGGTTCAAGTCTAATATGAAGACTAAGAGCATAGCTAGAAAGGCCACAGCCAAGTCCAAAGGAATAGGGCAGTGCCAAGACACAGCATGAAGTCAGGCGCCTAGAACATAAAGGTCATTACAAATGATTAGTACATACAGGCAGTGGTGTCTGAAAGGCCACACTTCAAAAGTGAAGGGCATAAATGGAGGAAAGGACGAGGGCTTATCTAGGTTTCATGAGGTGAGTGTGTGCTAAGGATTTTGTGGGTGTCAGAAACCAGCATACTAAACGATGTAAAGAAAAGTCAGAACATGATAAATGGCAAGTTCGGCACTTCATTCATCCTGAATTAACCTTGGCGGATGAATTTGTTTGAAAATCTAGCTCCAGTTGTTTTTTTTTATTTTTATTTTTTATTACCTTTATTAGCCAGGAAAAAAGCCGGACTTTAAGCAGGCTGTTCTACTCATATGCCAAAATGTCTAGAGTAGAAATGAACCGTGGTGTGGAGAGCAGTTCCTGGTACCATGATCGAAATCAAGGATTGTTTAAATACTAATGTTCTTGTTTCTGCTGTTGTCCGCACCCATTGTCTAAATTCTAAACCCTGTTGTTGTCTCCTTGAATAGACTTGCAGTGCCCAGATTTTTAATAGTCTTGTTTAATTTCCTATTCCGTGCTCCACAGACTTCCTTCTAAATTTCAGAACTTTTTTTTATTGCATTTGAAAATTACCCGATATTTCAGTTTTCTGTCCAAACAATGTAATTTCCTAATCTACAGTCCTCTTTATTGTTTGAAGTTTGTGTACATTTGTACTGAATGCTGCCACCTTATCTGTTCCAATCATAAGCTGGTGCCTGTCACTTGTGTTCCACTCTCAGATCTGTCTCAGCTATCCAGGGTCTCAAGATTCTTGCACTGGATTCGCAGGTTTTGCCACCCATGTTCATATAGTCCCCACTCTCTTCTCCTCCTTTCCATTATTGGTGCTGCCTGGGAATAGAGGGCAAAATTAGATGGTGCTTCTATACCTATTTTTTATTCAGAGATAAAATGACAAAATTTTCCAAGAAAAATTGCTTTATGACTAACCTAGAGGTTTAGAGCCTTAGGAGGTTTAAATCTTTCAAATTATATGAGAATTAGATTTTCAGAAAAGTTAGTATATATTAAGATTATACAAAAATTCTTTGGTTTAGATTCTGGGCTCAAAATATCATAGGCAGTTTTTTTGCTCATTAAAGTTTTGGCAGAACATTCAAAAGTTGTGGGGTGTGTAGGGAATTATTTGTTGTGTGGAAATGTCTCACTTACTGCAGGACGACCAGCATTCTTAACAAGCCAAATAAATATAAGCCACATCTCCCATCATTGTGGCCTTCCAAAATACACCCACAAATCTTCCAAATGCCCCAATGGGTTAATGCCATCCCTAATGAGAACAACTGGATTAAGTTAATTGATTAATTTTCAATTGCTGGGATTGGGGAGGAACCCACAGAAAATGTGGGTGCTTAAAATCTGAGCAATGTCAGCAAGAAGAAGAGGGGATCACTATTGGGTAGACATCCACCAGTGTGCCCCAAGGAATTGGCTAGATAATATTCTGTGAGGTCCCTTCTAGCTAGAGAATCCATAATATTTATGTCTTAAAGTATAATAATCATGGGTCATGGATGTTATATATATATATATATTATATATATATATAATCATTCAAAATTTTAAGGACAAACTCTTCAGTTGCTAAATATGATTGATAGATGAACTTCTCTTTTTTATTTAATTATTAAGGGTACATAGTGCTTGTATTTACTTATAGGGTACATGTGATATTTTGATACAGGTATATAATGTACAATAATCAAATCTGGGTAATTGGGGCATCCATCACCTCAAGCATTTATCATTTCTTTGTGTTAGGAACATTTCAATTCAACTTTTTTTTTATTTTTAAAAACTTCTCTTAAGGATAAGTAAAACTTGCAACAATTGATATATTTAAAATATAAGCCTTCGAAAAATAAAGTGTAGTGGCATTTTAGAAGAATGTTAATGTGAACTAAATTTTTTCTATGCTTAATGCAGGATAATGGTATTTTTGGTATTAATGAGAACATAAGAAGTTAACATTGTTTAATTCAAATTTACCTAATTAAAATAATTAAAACTACACTTAGTTTTTTTCTAAGGAAGGGCTATAGATATATAATCTTTCATTCTTCCTCATATGACTATTATAAAGGAAGGTCCATGACACTCTCTTATTTACTTGAATCATAAAATACCTAGTATAGTCTCGGAGACAGTACATGTTTACTAGATGTTTGTTGCACAGATGATTTGTTTCATTGGAATACTTCTGAAAAGATTATGCGACTCAATCTAAGATTATTCTATTAGAAATAGTTTTCATATTGAAAAAGATTCCTTTGCATTGTTTTTTTCTAAGCTCTTTTACTCCAGGTAATCTTGTATGGATTAATACATAATTGTTTCTATATGAACTTCATGAACTAGATGATAGATGGCTTAGTATTAGTAATCATTAAAAGAACACACTTCTCTACATCTCATCGTTTCAGCTTGTTGACTTCTTCATGTTTTTGTTGTCCTTCTATTTGACAGGGATTCGATAAACAAGTGGATGTGTCATATATTGCCAAACATTACAACATGAGCAAAAGCAAAGTTGACAACCAGTTCTACAGTGTGGAAGTGGGAGACTCAACCTTCACAGTTCTCAAGCGCTACCAGAATCTAAAGCCTATTGGCTCTGGGGCTCAGGGAATAGTTTGGTAAGTAGAATGAATGCTGTATTTTTAAAGGTAACATACTGTGTGCATCTACTAGACACAAATACACTAACAAACAAAACCCCCCAAAATAAATAGCATGCCTTGGGAAGGGAAAATAATCCTGAAAAAATAAAATTAAGAGAATTATCTGTTATTCATTGCATACTTGCTAACAGTGTACAACTTGGCTTGTGACATGCTGGCACAAGAAAAATAATGTATTATATGACACAAGAACCATAAAGAAATTAAGAGAACAAGATGTTTTATACTTTTTACTAATGTATTTAAACATTTTTACTTTTCTGTTTCACAAAAAGAAAAGAGGGGATATGTCTTAATAGCAAATAAAAGCCCTTGCCTACTAGAGAGGGAGAAATAAAGTTGAATGTTTAAAATCAAGTTACCGATCTAGAAAAAGTAGTATTTTAAAAATGTTTGCTTAATGTTTCCAAAATGGGAAGATTCTGGGCTCCTTAGTAACTATTCTCTTATGACATTTTTGAGTGACTGACTGAAATCATGAAAAATGTAGATCTGATCTCACTGTTATAAAACTCCTGCAAAAGTAATGATATCAGATTAATTGATAAGTATATTTTTAGACAGTTTAATTTGGAATCTAGCAACCAAATATATTTAACATGAACTTACTAGTATAACAATTTTCAATCATTTTGATATCTCACACCAGCAAGTAAAAATTTAAGGCATGCACCCTGAATATGTATACTTATATTTATATATTTATTTTTAAAGGATTTTAATTTATATAATGTATTTATTTCTTACTGCTATATTTCCAATGTCCATTTAAAAACACAAATATTTTTAAGGGGTGAGATGAGGATAAAATAAACATTTAAAAAATGTTTTATTTTAAACCTCTTTTTTTACTCATTTGAAATATTGGCAGTGTTATTTTAGTGATAGCAATGGATGGTTTTTATTATTTTTTAAACCTTTGTTTTATATTATAATATTTCATAAACTTATTTGAAAATATGGCTCACTTCCTTTTGGCAGCTGGTTTAAGGTCAGGCTGAGTACTTAGTTGATGCAAATGCAGAATTGCACTGTTGTACTTGCTAAATACTAGGATTTAAACCTCATTTGCCAAATATACCAAGACTTTTGTTGAAGTTCATCTGGTAAACTTCCACCTTTCCTAATGTCAATTGGTAGTTGGTTTTTGCAATTTGAAGGTTAAACATTTTGATATTTTTGGCAATGGGCCAAACCTTTTAAGTATTAAACATGTTTAAACAGGTAAACAGATAAAGGCATTTTTATTTTCAATTTTTATTTTTATTTTGTTTTTGTGGTGCAGAGATAAGGTGAACCTCTCTGTGGCATAAAATAGTTTCATGGTATGGTAGGCAGAATAATGGTCTTCCGAAGATGCTCAGGCTCCAATCCCCAGAATCTTGGATATGTTATGCAGTGTGGCAAAAAGGATTTTCCACATGTGATTGAGATTAAGGACTTCCTAATGGAGGGATTATCTTGGAATATCCAAGTGGGACCAACATAGTCACATGAACACTTAAAAGTGGAAAAGGAAGGCAGAAGAATGGGTCAGAGAGATGCAATCGGAGAAGATGAAGAAGAGATTAGAAATATGAGACAGACTTGTGTTGCTGGCTTTGAAGATGGGGGAAGTGAGGCCATGCATGAGCCAAGGAATGCGGCTGCCTTCTAGAGATAGAAATGGCTGACAGCAGTCAATGAGCAAGGAATTGGAGACCTCAGTCCTACAACGCCAAGGAACTGAAATCTGCCAACACCCAAATGAGCTCCTTCAGCCCCTCCAGAAAGGAACTCAGTCTGTCGACAGCTTGATTTCAGCCCAGAGAAACCTGTGTAGGACTTCTCACCTACAGAACCATAAGATAATAAATTTGTGCTGTTTAAGCAGCTAAGTTTATAGTGATTTGTTGTGGCAGCAATACTAATACACATGGTAAAGATTCTAATATTAAGATAATTGCTGTAAATATAAATTTAACAGGAGAGGGAGACAAGGAGGCGATTTCTGGCTCCTTTTCTTTGATGGAAAATTGTAGAATATTAACATGAGAAAGTTTTCCTGACTAAGATTCTCAGTTCAGATGTTCAAATACTCCTTGGGATAGTTGCATCTTACTTCAAATAAAACCACCATAGTAAGTGAGGACTGCCTGTAAAAGGAAACTGAAATACTTTTAATGGCCCCCAAAATAGATTGAAAGCAGCATTTTGCCCAAGAAGTTAACAGATTGTCACAGAAAGATTTTAAAATCTTCTAAAAATGTTGCAGTATGTTCTATAGGACATTTTGGGCCGCTACTTCTCCTATGAGATGGAAGTCATCCTTAGTCTGAGATGTAGTAACTGAAAATACATTTCAATAAGTGAAATAAACCTAAGTAAAATTTTAAACCCCATTTCAGAACAGATTTATCAGCAAATTCAGTAAAGTAAAGGGACATCTGAATTTCAAAATGTTAGCTTTGGAGTTTCCTAAGATTATTAGTCTTTTTGTTGATAGTTAAGGGAAATAAAGTCAGGCTAACAAAGAGCAAGGTGAAGGGGCATAAAAGGGGATGGTGTGTTCCTATCTTTCATTTCCAATGACCACTCTACTGTGTGCAGGGACATGCAATTACAGCACACAAATGTGGTGTCCCTTCCTTGTCCTCAACCCAGGCTTTGAGATGTCATTGTTTACTTATCCTAGCTTGAATCTGTAATGTGCTACTTCTCTTGCAGATCTGTTCTTGCATTGATTTGTCTTCTCTACCCACCTGCCTTTATTAATTTCCTTTCTCTTGCCTTTGTCCATGGTGAGCTTTCTCACACTCAACACAGTTCCATTCCCAGACATGCTCCTGAAATCCACAGACCTTCCCTATGTTCACAAAAACTGCCAGATACATATAATATCCTGAATGTAACATACATCCTGATTATAGTGTCTGGTTGAAATTGGAAACTGGGAGTGTGTGAGGTCTCTGGGAGACAGACAAAGTGAAGTGTATCCTTCATTGAGGAGGAACTAATTACAAAAGAGATGTCATCCATTTTTTTGCATGTATCACCGTAGAAGTGTGTGTATGCGTGCAAGAGGAATTCAGCTTTTCCAGTGTAAATGTAGCATGTTGACACCCATGTCTCAGAATTGCCAACCTCCCAACTTATTTGAAATTGAGTTGCATTCCTACTGTTCCAATTCCCTCAGACTGGTCATTTGGTTCTAACAATTTCTTACCCCTGTTTGAACTGTTTTATTACTTACTTATCATCAAGGGGAAAAAGGAAATACTAAAATACCTTCAAAAGAAATTAACTACTACTATACTATTTTTTCACTCACCATGGATGATAGACCCAAAATTCCATTGTTGAGAACCATTAAATAAAAGCTAATATAAAATCTTTTGGAAAAAACGAACATTTTCTTTCTACTTTTGATGAAAAAAAAAAAGATTATCTGTTGAAGCAGAAATAATGAGAATTATTCTGCTTCACTGTGTGAGCTAAGAAGTCCTCTGTAGCCTTGCAGGTGGGGAATCGCAGAGTAATCTGTAAGATGAGTTTTAGCAACAGTGGTCAGGATCCAGATGAACAAGTCATTTCAGAACATTTTTCCAATCATCAGAAGAGAAGTCTCATTAGTGTTTTTTCTGCTGCCAGCTCAAGAACAAAAACAAGCATAGGAAGAAACCAACAGCAGGGGTTTCATTGTCTTCTCTTCCACCCTGCTGTTCCTTGCCAAGCCAAGGAACATTTTCTATTTTCTCATTTCTCTCTCCAAAGATGACTCAAACTGACAGCAAAAGTGGTGGCAAAAGTTAATGACTAAGTTTAGCAGACAAGACTTGCCAAGGTTGGTCTGCTCTTTAACTGAAAAGAGCTGACTGTGTAGTTTTAAATGATAGGAAGGAAAGCCTTCTTCTTTCTAGCTTGTAAGTGGTCCCAATTCAGTTTTGCAAGATGATGTTTTGCAGAATATTTACAGCAGAGAGGTAAGCTTAATACAGATAAAAGCATAGAATGGCTGTAAGAAATATGTGCCTTGAAGATTAAATATTTAGGAATAAGATGATATATTTTATGTTAACTAAAATTTTTTGAAATCCCAATTACAACTGGAGGATAATGTCTAATAAAATTTGAAATAAGTGTATTTGTAAGATGCCCTGGAAATACTCCAATGGATTCATTTATATTAAATGGAATATCTATATCTATAGTAGTGGATATATATACACGGTATATTTATTCCCCCTTATCCACAGTTTCACTTTGTGTGGTTTCAGTTATACATGGTCAACTATGGTCTGCAAATATTAAATGAAAAATTCGAGAAGTAAACAATTCGTAAGTTTTACATTGCCTGCCATTCTGAGTAGCATGATGAAATTTGGCTTTGTCCCGCTCCATTCTGCCTGCTGGGGATGTGAATCACCCTTTTGTCCAGTGTGTCCATGCTGTAGACACTCCCCGCCTGTTAGTCACTTAGTAGCTGTCTTGGTTATCAGAGCGACTGTCATAGTATCATAGTGTTTGTGTTCAACTAACCCTTATTTTACTTAATAATGGCCCCAAAGTGCAAGAGTAGTGATGCTGGCAATTCACATATGCCAGAGAGAAGCTGTAAAGAGCTTATTTTAACTGAAAAGTTCTCAATTTAAAAAGAAAAGAACACAAATTGTATGCTGATATTGCTGAAATCTCTGGTAAGAAAAATCTATCTATGAAACTGTGAACAGAATATTGTTATAATTGCTCTATTTTATTATTAGTTATTGTTGTTAACCTCTTGCTGTGCCTAATTTATATGTTAAACCTTATCATAGGTATGTATGTATAGGAAAAGCCATAATGTATATAGGGCTTGGTACTATCTGCAATTTCAGGCATCCATGGTTGGGGGGTGTCTTAGAACATATTCCCTGCAGGTAAAGGGGACTGCTGTAATGAATATGTAACCAACATATTATTATTATATATAATAT